GGAAATTAATAAAAGGTTGATGTAATAGAAGTACCTACCCTACAATGTCTGAGACAGTTAGCTAAAGTTTTTCTCTTTTGACCGCTTTTTTTTTTTGGCGTTTTCCTTTGTACATAGGGCGACGTCCTTGTCTGGTTCTGTCTAGATTTCCAATACCTATTTTATTTATGCAAAGGTCTACAAAACATAGGAATGCTTTTGATTATTGATCCATTTAACCCTGTATATGTATTTTCACGCACGTAATAGTTGACCATATAGAATACATGAACAGCCGAAAACTGTCACTACCATCGTTAGATATTCCTATTATACACTGTTCCTATTCTCAAAACTTTTTTCCTTTTAAAAAAGCAAAAGTTCCTCAAGTTAGTACTTTTTCCAAGCAGCAAATGGGATAAATGAGAAGACATGTACAAACAAGTACTGCAAGCTTTTCAAACCAAATCGTCTCATAGTAAGCCAAAACAAACTTAACCCGCTGTTGGCATTCCCTCCTTTCCCTTGGCATTATCGCTCCAGAACCCTAAAACTCAAAAATACTCATTAATGTTTAGATCAAACCAAGAGTGGGCACTATATGTTGATGACATTATATATTTTCCACGATAGGATTTGCAATTTTGTGCTGATTGTTATCTTTGTTGATGATTCTTTCAATTCAGCTTTATGGTTAAAGGTGTAGTGAATCCAACAAACAAAAATCGTTATTTTATATCGATATACAACGGTCCAGCTAGCAGATTCTTGATTTTCTACCTGTTAGAGCATCATTGCTTACATGCACCAAGGACAAATAATCATTAGAATTCCAATAATATTAAGTCGTCATTACCAAAACGATAAAATCACGAAAGACCAGGATTAGTGGAAATTAAGAGCTGCATATGTCAAAAGCTCCAATCAAACACATTATCATTTAATTAGTAATGGAAAGCTACTCGTCTTTTTTGTTGGCACTGTATTTTGCCTCCTCTTGTCAGGCCAACATAAAGAGGTTGGGTTTTTTAAAATTCCCACCTTCACAGCTTTCTCTATTACGGCCAGGAGAAGTTCAATGCGGACAATCTTCCAATTAATTTCCTAATGTATTACTACTATTTAATTTTCTCAAAGAACCTTGGTGGGACCTAACCTAAGAAATGGGGTATCCTTGGATATGGTTAAGAAATTTTTTGCTAATACTTTAAGTTGTTTTCCATTTTTATGTGAGCCTTTCATAATTCTCAGAGGACCATAAGCACATAATAAGCTACCCAGCATAATGGATGATCTATAGACCCTCAGAGAAATTAATGTCTACGGAATCTTATCCAGGTTTCAAATCCAATGAAGAAAAAGGGGAACAAGAACAGAAAACAGAGATTTTGTTCAATAATGTGAAGATTTCTTAACTTTTTGAAGTGAAATGACTACGGCTAGAGTCTAATTACCTGTAATGGGAATAGTTTTAGAGGTGATTATATAAATATTTATGCTTGGGCCTAACCTTGGAAAATGGCCGGTCCAGCTCATTTTTGTCAACGGCTGATTTGACAATTTCTTCTTAGATGCATGAATGTAGAAGCAAGTACATTTGACCTTTGTCTTTCATCTGATGCCATCAAAAATTTCCAGATCCTTTTCCTTCCATTAGTGCTGCTTACGTTCCAATCCCCTCACGTCCGGGATCTTGACTCGTTTCTATTCATTCATACATATGCTTTGAGTTGTTCGGAGAAGTTTTTGTATTACAGTTATATATATGTAACAACCTATATAATATTGACAGATAGAATCAATTTTACCGACAGTGCATAGTCGGAAAATAAAAATCTCATTCTCTTCCTGTCTTTCTTTTGGCAATTTGGGAACCTGCATGAGCATAGGCCGCCATTGGTGGAAACTGTATTAAAATTTGTAGGTCCCCTAGCTCAACTGGTTAGATAACAACAAAACAGACAAGCTTGTATCGTTCGGTTCATCTCGGGTCCTTATCTGCAACGCATTGGAGGCATGATTTGTCACATTAGATTGTTTAGATGTGTTTATTTTATCGATTTATTTCCTTAAAAATAATACTCTTTAATTCAAAACAACAACCACACATGACACATCCAATTGGATATGTCCGATGTATCAAACCTTTCCCACTTGTAAATTACTACTAGTTATCTCAATCAAACAAAGCCAACTTTTTTTAAAAAAATTTTAAAAGATGGTTATATTTCTGAAGAGTTTCACATCAACTGAATGAAAATGGTGGATAAAAATTCCTAGTCAAAAGAAGCCACCACTTATAGCCTGACAAATAAATAGGCGCAGTGTTAATCATGGGATTATGTTGTTTACTGTTTAGCTTGTTTCCAAGCGCATGGAATTTTTTATTTGAACAGCTAGCTTTTGGATTATGTCTACGAGTGTCTGGTCTACCTTTCATACATTTGTTAAGACGGGCTGAGTTAATTATTTATCATCTTGATTTTTATTGTTATTATGCAGAGTTAGCAGGCGAATCATCAAACTTTATATGTAAGAGAATTATTAAGAGTATTTTGGGATTGCGCATGTAATTTAGTTGTCCTAATTATACTAATATATATGGAAGATTGTCAATCTGGGTCTCTTATGTAATCATCTTTCATTCTAATGAAAAATTTACGGCAACTGCAAATAGACGTAATTCTATCATATCGATAATTAATCATTATAAATTTTGTGTGTTCCTTATATTTTATTTTTCTTCATCTTTGTTTTATTATCATTTTTCCTGAGGATAAGATCAAGGCTTTTTTCCTAACAACATTGAGGATGTATATGATTTGAAAAGTACTGAACATGATTCTTCTTTGAAATTAAGGTTGTAGTGAGAGTCCATGTCAGTTTGCACAAGATTGAAATAGTTCAGGGACCTCTGGTTGAAGATTTCTTTTGTGAGTTCATGAGATATATAGGAAAAGGGCCCTCAGTCCCTTAGATGTTAATGAGCTGGTTTTGCAAGGGAAGCTCCTTCAAGATATTTTGCTACTTTGCTTCTCTCACTCGTATGCTCCCTTTTTCTATGCTTAGTAATTTGTTTGGAAATGACCAAATATCTTCCACAATTTAAACACTTTTCCCCCCACAAAGTTACAAGGTGAAAATGTGATCAATATTTCTTTTTTCCTTGCTTTATGTTTATTAATCAATAAACAAAATCGTAAAGGGGTCCATGCCAAATCCACCAGCAAAGGTTATTTGGTGAATTTCATTTGTTTTCCCCTTTTCCTGTATGACCGAATAAGTGGCCCCTTCTGAAACAATGAATTATTTCTACCGTCCGTATGCAAAGAGCTGTTGTTAAGATCTCACATCGGAGAGCCAAACATGTTGCAGTAGGAGCTTGAAACTATAGACTTGGCGAGCTATGTGCCGGTGGATGAGTTGCTTATTTTTAACAGAACCATCAAACAATAAGCAAAGTAGGCAAAACTGAAGGGGCTCGGCAACAAGTTTAGATTATAAAAGTGAAATTACAATCCAAAGAATCTTTCAGTTTTCGTGAACCTCGACAAATTGAATTTGTTAAATTCTTGGTGAGTACAAAATACAATTAGTGTTGCAGGACTGTCTAAGTTAAGCACTGAAAAAGCAAGAATAATTCGCTTCACGTTTAAAATCAATGATCCTGTAGTTTACTCTTTGGTCAAAGCAATCAGGCTTGGAAATAGTTTCTTGGCAAAGGTAACATCCTGGCTCATGAGCTTGGTGGATATGTCTGGTTCAATTCGAGCTTTCTCGGAAGCAGAACTGAAATTGTAGCACACGCGGAAAACTTTGTGGTCCTTTGCAGGATCGTGAACCTAACCTGAGCAAATATTTTTTCTGATTCATGACTTCAGTGGATGACCTCATGTTTTTTGTATTTTCCTTTGCTTTATGCGAACCATTTTTCCTTTTCATAATCATTTTGTCGACACATGTGCAGCTTCCAAGTTCTTTTCAATTAATCTGAACAAAGACCAGCGAGGCAGGCTGTTGTCATATGGGTTTGTGGTAAAAAAAGGAAAAGGTTCCAATTTTTTGGTTTTGATGCCGTGAGATTATCACTGTGAAAAAACAAGTTCGGTGGGGTTAAAAGATTCATGAAAAGACTTGTCTCAATGTTTCAATAAGTACCAAATCATTTAAAGATGGAAAAGTAAAAGACTTAGAGAAAGTTAAAAGTTGGTAAAATTTTTTATTAGAATTGATTAAATAAAATAAAAAAAATTAAATTTGATAAATTAAAAAGTTTTATTATATAAATTAAGTATGTAAATTTTAATTTTTTTTAATTTTTTAGATAAATATTTTTAATAAAAATATTGATTTAATTTTTATATTGAATTTTATTAATTTACCGATTTAAATTTTTTATTAATTGATTTTTTATTAAATTTTATCTATTTATAAATTTTGATTTTCAAAATAAATTTTTGTGATAATTTTAATAAAAAAAATGAACTTCATGAAAAAAACTCTACTAAAGTCTTGTCGTGAAAAAAAACGTGAGCCTTAGACAATTATAGATCAGAGTTAGACAAAATTAATGAATTTTTTTAGATCAAAATAATTTTTTCCTCTTTGCAACTGATAGATGATTGCCAAACCATGGTGGCTATAAAAGGATATTCATTCTTCCACATCTTTAATGCTCTTTTCAATTATTCAAACAATTTAGCAAAACAAAACAGCTGGATAACAGAGCATTTTCCCCCAGATGCCCTTACTAAAATTAAATTTTATTCCCATCGGCATGATTAATTAATTAAATAATGAAGCAATTATTCTTTTTTTTTTATTACTCTCGTCCCAATACTCACGCTCAAAATTAAGATTTTTTTTTTATTTCTTGAACATGAAAATGTTACTGTTAAGTTACAAAACTATTGATTTTAAGGTTAGATACAAGATAAAATCAAACAAGCCGGGATCAAAGACTATCTAATTCGGAAGATCATGGCAAATTGATGATAAAATGAAGGTAGAGCATAATAACAACTATATATATAGACATTGAGACTTCAAAAATATTGAGTTTGAGGCCATTGGCTTTAACAACTATAGCAGACAACTAAGGGAAGACAGCAGATCACTTAATCATCTTGTGAAAGAACATCCTAGTAAACTAGTTGTCGTACAAAACCTCCCCAAGAATAAACCAAAAAAAATTGGCAATTGCAGGTATTAAGAATTGCTTAGAATCCTAAAGATATCGGCACATGTCTAGGATGGTGAAATTCAAAGGAAAAAGTTGCAGCAAGTCACGAGAATTGGAAGCTATTAACACATAACAGGAATCTGAATATGATTTTCTCAAGAAAATGTGGACTTGTTGGATTCCTAGGCATTCCAGAACTGATAGTTTCAAAGATTTCCTGATAATTCAGAACTGCTACAAATACAGTAGCAGCTCAAACTTCAATATTAGCTTCCTACAACCCAAATTCCAAAGTTTCACCGTCTCTAGCCACATCCCTCTCTGATGTATCTTCTCTGTTGATAAAATATCCATAACATAAACAAATGGATAATATGAGAAGACGCCCCAAAAAAAGCAAAGAAACAACCACCACGAAACTACCCACCTCCTTTTCTTTTAAGTTCATGAACCCAATTCCTTTCCTTCTTCTATATAAACCCCTTTCCCTCTCCATTCATCCCTCACTCCCCTTTTTCTTTAGCGATCAGCTAAAACAAAGGAAAAATAGATATATACTGAACCAACGGAAACCCTTCAAAAATCACCATGCCTTCTTCTTCAGCTACCCTTATTTCGAAATGCACGATTTTCCCAGACCAAAAATCCTACATCAAAACCTTAAAGCTATCAGTTTCAGACATCCCTATGCTGTCCTGTCAGTACATTCAAAAAGGAGTTTTGCTGACGTCTCCTCCTTTCTCCTTCGACGACCTCGTCATTTTCCTCAAACAATCTCTTTCCACAACTCTTTCTCACTTCCCTCCTTTGGCCGGTCGTCTCACAACCGACCCCGACGGTCACTTGCACATCACCTGCAACGACGCCGGCATAGAGTTTCTTGTAGTGAAATCTCCTAAACTTTCTATCCACGACATTTTGTCTCCAGGCGATGTCCCCGATTGTGTCAAGGAGTTTTTCACTTTTGACAAGACACTTAGTTACTCGGGCCATTTCAAGCCGTTAGCTGCGGTTCAGGTAACCGAGTTAGCCGACGGGGTTTTTATTGGGTGCACAGTGAACCATGCTGTGACCGATGGGACTTCGTTCTGGCACTTTTTTAACTCCTTTGCTGAGATTACTAAAGGAGCTTCAAAAATATCGAACTCTCCCGATTTTTGCCGTATCAACGTCTTCAATTCTCAAGCCGTGCTTCAATTCCCTCCCGGAGGCCCCTCAGTTACTTTCGCCGGCGACGAGGCGTTGAGGGAAAGGATTCTACATTTTAGCAGAGAAGCGATTTTAAAACTTAAATACAGAGCTAATTACGGTTGTTTGTTAACTAAACAAACGAATTCCGAAGTTTTAGGAAAGCTCTATAACGACAGTTGGAAATCCGTTAACGGAGAAAGTAACGGCAAGGTGAAAAAAGTTTATGATGAGATTTCGTCTTTCCAATCGCTTTGTGCTCAGCTTTGGAGGTCGGTGACGCGGGCTAGGAAATTGGAGCCGACCAAGATGACGACGTTTAGGATGGCGGTGAATTGCCGGCACAGGTTGGACCCAAAGCTCGAGCCGTACTACTTTGGGAACGCGATTCAGAGCATTCCTACTTTTGCTCCAGCAGGTGAGCTGCTGGCTAAGGACTTGAGCTGGGGCGCCGATCTGCTTCATAAAAACGTGGTGGCACACGACGATGATACGGTACGGATAGGTGTAGCTGATTGGGAGAAGCAGCCGAGGTTATTTCCGTTAGGTAACTTTGACGGTGCATCAATTACCGTGGGAAGTTCTCCTAGATTTCCAATGTACAATAATGATTTTGGGTGGGGCCGGCCTTTGGCTGTGAGGAGCGGTAGGGCCAACAAGTTTGATGGGAAGATCTCAGCCTTTCCTGGTAGAGAAGGGAATGGGAGCGTTGACTTGGAGGTCGTTTTGGCGCCCGATACGATGACGGGCCTTGAGAACGACGCCGAGATTATGCAGTACGTATCGGAAATCGTGTGAGGGAGTACACTGTAGTGGAATCTCTTTTTTAAGTGGGATAAGTAGCCCAGGTGTCGATATATGATTGGTGAATAATTGTTAAACCATTATCCAAATCTTGGGGTTGAGAGGCGGTGATCTTTTGGACGGTTGTGATTTCATTTGTGTAAATCATAAGAGCTAAACGGGATAATGTTTTGGCTACTTTTATCAGAGTTGTTATGTTGGGCTTTGTACGTGAAAGCTTTTATTTTCCATGTGATGACATCAACTCAAAGGAACGGTTTTATCATAATCAAGTTGCCTAATCTATAATTAAGGATAGAAAATGATAGAAGTAATTAAAAAAAAAGATTATCTTGGAAGTTTCAATGGCTAATTAATCTAAATTATCGGCCTTTTATTTGAGGGTCCAGAGGTACCACTTTCTCAAGTCTCAAGGCTTAACATATACAAGGTTGTCACTTTCAGGCTTGGATCCATCTACCATTTTGGGGCCAATGGATCCAGTTACCATTTGCACCTATTTCTTTAAGGTTTACTTGTATCCTAACCTATAGTATGAGATTAGCTTGTGTCAACTATGGGATTTGAATCTTGTTACACATTTATCTCAGTTTAGCACATGGATCTTCCAATTTCCTACTCTCAAATATATGTCTAATTGCACTTGGTAACCGGCTTGAAGTTGATACTTGAAAGTATGTTTGCAGGGAAAGCAAAATAAAGATATCCATGGAAAGTTTTAGTTTGCTAATGGAAGTTCAGCTGCAAGATTAGGAGGATTAACAACCTAAAGTTTTCGATATTATAAGATCATTTTTTTAAAAAATTAAATTTCGAATTAAATTAGATAATAGCAAAAAAAGATCAAAGTCAAGTTAGAATCAGAATTAAATTTTAATCGACCCGATATATATATATAAATTATTTTTTAATTATTTATTTATATATATTTATAAAATTTTATATTTATATTAAAAATAATATTTTATATTTTAAAAATTAATATTTTATTAAGTTCGAATAAAGTCAAATTGGACATAGTTTATGAAATGCTGGCTCGAGTAGGTTCGAGTATAAAAAACATAAAAAAAAAAAAAAATTCGTTTGGATTTTGTAAATATAAAATCGGATCATATTCGAAACGAGCAAAAATCTGCTTGGATCCGACTTGTTATCATTCCTACGCAAGATATCCATGGAACCAATGAATTTTAGTTTTCAAAAAATTCAATCATACATATCACCATAAACATGCTATTTCCTTTAATTATACCAAGCAAACCTATGTAATATATCCAAATCACCTATAGTTGACTTCTGGCGACCCGAAAAGGCGTTTCGCCAGCCATTGCAGAGGTCTCAGTAGCTGCGCTCTCTTCTTTCGCCAAAACCAAATGGCAGCATTGTATTGTTCATTGCGTATCTTCTTAGTGGCTGCTTTCCAATCATACTTCTCCATTTCTACACGTGCAGCTTTGCCAATGGTTTCTCTCAGTTCCTTATTTTGTAAAAGGGGCTCCAACTTGCTCAAGCAGTCGTCAACATCCCCAGGAGTAAAGAGAAAGCCAGTTTTGCCCTCTTGGTCTGAAGGAATTATATCTGGGATTCCCCCAGCACGAGCACCCACCACAGGGATTCCTGAAGACATGGCCTCCAAAACAACAAGCCCGAGTGTCTCAGATTCCGAAGGCATCACAAACACATCCCCACTTGCATATGCCTGGGAGAGCTCTTCACCTTGTAACATCCCAGTAAACACAGCAGGCATACCTGAAAACAAATTCTCTAGCTCTTCCCTGCAAAGAAGAGATCATATATTCTTTAAGAGAGGAGCACAAATTTTTGCCTGATTTATTTCTCCCAATCCAACTTCTGTCATTAGCTACGTGAGACTATTACCGAGGAAAGAAGTGAGGTTAAGAATTACTTAGCAGAAATTTATAACCCTGAAATTGGTGAGATCGGATGAAAGCATTCATTGATCCAATTAGGGCTTTCTCAGTGAGAGTGAGTATGATATTCCATCTGAGACATCTTGAGTATGGTTAAGTTCTTGAGCATCATGTGGATTACCTGTATGGTCCATCCCCAATAAAAGCAATTCTTGCTCCTGGAAGTCTGTCCATAACGCTGTAAAATCATATATTCCCAATGTTAAAAATTTGCAAAATTCATAAATTAAAGGGAGTAAATGATCACAATGAAAATTTGACATAACCCCATTATTTTTTCCTTTTTCAACTATGACATGGTATTATGTTTTAACTAATTATAAAGGAAGATATTAGCAAGAAGTTTTCATGCAATTCATAAATGTTACCTTTTGAGGAAATCCAAACTCTTCTCAACTCCAAGACGCCCAACATGAATTACCAATGGTTTCTCTGGTTCGCCATTGCTGTATAAAGTAAAATTTATAGATTTAAGAGAAACATTACTACACTGTAGTTGAGGAAAGAGGAACAAAATAAAGGATTAGTGGAGCACCTCAATTTTAACCGCATTTCATGAAAGCGATATCGAGGGTGGAAGCTTTCAGAATCCACACCCTTGTTCCAAAGACGAATCTTATTAGCTGAAAGTATTGATAAATGAAAAGCAGGTTAGTTTAGGTTTGAGCTATGCATATATCATCAACAGGCCAGCATCTGTAGAAGGGAAACATGAGAACAAATAAAGCAAAAGATGCATTTATCACACTGGGGGTAAGCACTGGAGAGAGAAAATAGATTAATGCGAAAGACACATGGCTGAGCTCTGTACTAACAAGTAACAACCAAGTTAAATTGTATAAGGCTATTTTGATAACCAAAAGGATGCCAATGTTTACCTGCAGTTACCCTAGCTGCTTGGAGATCCCTCCCAATTGCAGCTGATGGAACCAATGTAAGATCAGCTGCTCTGTGAAGAAATTCTGATAAGAAAGAGCAAAAAAGCTGTCAAATGCTCAGACTTTGGCATGAATATTGGCTTCAAAGGAGGGAAAAGAAAAGGCCTTACGTACTTAATATCAACCACATAGGTTTCACCAACCAACTAAATGTGTATCTTGGGATATACCTGTAGAATAAAACAAAAGTTAGATTTAGGTTTGGGTCCATAAAACAGTTAGTGTAGTTTTGAACCTGGAATGATAAACCTTCCAAAAAGCAGCAAAAAATTTTCTGATTTTCATTGTTGAAGGAGTAACATGAAGGATTTATTCTGTGAATCAAAGAAGAATCAAACTCACACTGGAACATGGGTGTGGTAAGACATCACTATGGGTACACACAGTAGTTTTGCAATAATGAGGGCACCAAAAACCTGGAAATGCAGTCCGCAACAATCAGGAATGTGTCCCCTACCACTCATTTAATTTTCACTCTCAAATAGAAATCAAAATAATCTATCGAGAACTCAAATAGCAGCAATTAGAAGTGTACCATGATCCCAGGTGAAGAGGCATGTATTATATCAGGTTTAAACCGTGCAACTTCTGAAATTATTCTAGGACTGAGTGCCAAGGAAAGAGGCACTTTCTGATACCAAGGACAGGGGAAGCTGCAACGAGGAGGAAGAGAAAAAATAAAGAAAAACCAGTGTAGGAAAGAATATCCAAAGAATAAGCTAATGAAATAGTTAAAACATTCAGTTATGTCAAACAGTTCAACAAGCCAGTTGATAACTTCAAAACAAAGTAAAATAGGACAAAACAAGAATGAAGTTGAGGAAAAACAAACTAAGATAACCTGACGATGATAGAAAGAATTTCTACCTGATATAGTGTAAGAATGTTGTGCATAACATATATCTTCACAAAAGAAAAGTGCTTAACATCATTCATGAGGCTGGCTATCTCCATCCTTGGGCATAGAGTCATGGACGCTAAATCAATTGTAAGTAGATGACCAAACAACTAAGATCTAACTAATAGTCATCTCAACCATTTCTTCTACTTTATGGTATTGATGATGTTGTTTGATTTATCTACCAGCCAACATTCTGGTGTTTATATGCCTAAGAATGCTTTGTGAATAGTAACTTTTGTGGGGTGTAAAAATGAGTCACCTCTGGCTTGTTAACACTTAGAACGTAATCCAAGGATTAAGCAGCTAGGATTTTGTTGTATCTAAATAAACTTCTATTTCCAGTTCTAAACAATTTTTCCTTGGAAAGCATGTTGAACTGTGTAAGTAAACATCAAGAAAATTTGAAATTAGAAAAGCATGGGTAAGAACAAAAAGGGAAATGATGTGGACACATGGTAAAAATTTTAACTTGATTTAATTGACTACACCAACCTTCTTGATCCAATCAACTTTGCTCCATAGAACTCCTGCGGGACCCCTTCATGTGTTGTTACAACCATTACCTATGAGGACCAATAGCCTTACTGTTACTTCATCATTTGAACTGTTAACTATAGTAAACTGTTGGCCAAAACTGCTAGCTAATTTGTCTAGGAACTGTTAACTAAGAATGAAAATAAGCTAAATCAGTATTTGTAAGGCCCGCTTAGTCATTAGACCATTATTCCTCCAACATTAATATTGCCAATGAAAAATAGTTGAAATAAATCAAAGGCTAATTATATCAACTCTTAAATATTGTATAACATGGGCCAGTAAGCAATCTAAGTGTCTAACCCCCAGCCAAAAGCTCAAGCTTCTTAAATTGCAATGGGGTTTTGATTAAGCTTCCATGGCATGTCATTTAAACACACTGCCAAAAAACATCATTAGCTAACAAATTAGGATGCATAACTGCAAACATATAATGAGCATACCTCATCTCCCATTTCCCGTAAATATCTTATAAAATTCTGGAACCTGTTTTTATACCCTGACACATATCTGCAAAATGGAGAGATGCAGTCAGTGGGTTTCAAGCTTTTACATTTTAAGAAAGTAGGCAACAAATAAACCAAGATCATGCAACTTATATTGGAGACATCAGCAAAGATCTAAACTGTACATAGTTGATAGCTGGCATATCACAAAGGCAATTACCACACAGATAACAACCATGAAACATTCCTCTCAATGACTAACAACATCAATTAACAACCGAAGAATAACAATGGTAAATGCTGTTACTGGAAAAAAACTTCAAATTTAACAGCAACAAGAACAAGAAATGGGTATCATTAAACAATGTTATACCAAGCAAAGGAAGCAAAGGGAGAAACTCACGAGAAAGGAGAAGGCTCAACAAATAGAGCAATACGACGAGGCCTGGAATTGTTCTCAGAATCAATCAAAGGAGGACTTTCCTCTTCCCCATCTTCTTCTCTCACCTCTGTAGTAGTCATTTTACTTGCTCTAACAACAGTTATCCTTCTATTCCTCTCACTCCTCAATCTTACAGACTCAGAAAAGTGACTTCTTTTACAAATCGGGCTAATGGGTATTGTTGAAAAAGAAGAAAAAGACAAAACTTTAACAGAATTGGGAGGGTATAAAGTAAAAGAAAAAGAGGAAGAATTGCTTGAAGGGTAGGCCAAGAAGGAAGGAGGAGAAAGAAAAGGCTTTACAGAGAGAGATGGAGAAGGGGACATGATGTCGCAGTGAATAAATTATAATGGGAAGGTGTACTGAGTTGGGATTTCGAACGAGTGAGTTAAAGAATTGTTTTTTAATTGCTTAACATGGACTAGAAGATTCGGAAAAGCAATCTGAAAGACCTATGGCACACGCAGAGAATGGAGTATCCAAAGGAAGCTCCCTGGGTTTACGCTTATCGGCAAAATGGCAAGTGTCAACTCAAAATAAGTTCTCTTTTTGTCTTAGCTTTTTGTTAATGAAATGAAATGGGAGTTTCATATAAAAAACCAGGATTCTTTGATCAAGGTTGCTTTGAAATCTTAGTCCAAAGGAAAATGAGAAAGTGGATATGCTGGGAATATCATGAGCTTGTTGGATGACAAATGCAACTTGATATCTGATGGCTACATTTTTTCTTTTTATTTTTATTCAATCTTATTTTGGACTAACAACAAGCTCAATCTCTAAAGATTGGATTTGTTTTGTCTGACGTTAAATATGAACAACCAATCTTTGCCGTATAATGGTTCAGCCCAACGGTCCAATCTTTAGAGGATGAGATTCTTGTTAGTCCAAAATTGAGTTGGGCCAAACAAAATATTTGAACAAAACCATCCCATTAACAACAAAAAAGCTGAACTACCTGGTGGGCGAGAAAATAAAGTCATTTTGTTCAAGTTTCAGGCCATAAGACCCTTCGGATCCATTCCATTCTTGGATTGACAAACGCTTAGGCTTAAAGGCTTAAATCATCAGAATGCAGCCCATGTTTTCGCGTCCAAAACCGAAGACACAGCCTGTAATATAGAGGCTATGTCGGACCCAAGAGAGATGGAAGCCTGAACTGGTCACTTCTTCACTGGGGGAGGAAATTTTATCATTGAGAACAGGAAATGTAACTGCCTCAGTTGGTTTCACATCCTGTAAAGACAATCAAAGGAAGCATTTATTAACTGTCATTCTTTGTCTCCTGGAGGCTATGAACTTATGGTTTATATCACTTTCAAAGCCAAGTTACGGTCCAAACAAAATTAAGGCACAAGCCACACATTTTCTACATGGAGCTGAATTCCAACATTTTGATTTGAACTGAAATGATTGCTCTGAAAATGTTGTTCGAGTGTTAATTCATGCTTATCTCACATAAAGAATTCCATACAAAACTCAAAATTCTACAAACTAAGCCCCACTTCTTAGATCATAATCTTTTTTTTTTATAATGTTATTCATTTCGTTGTACATTAGCATCAGATTAGGTAAGATAGTGACTCAACCAGATTTTGCAGTCCAATTTTATGAGCCAGGGATCTAGTTGAAGAACAGCATCCATAAGCTTCCAATCCTTACTGTGTTGTGTTCGAATGAAGGCTTAGCTTAGCTCTATAACCAGGCAAATAAGTCCTGTGAGTAGCTGAGTCTCACTTTTGCTGCTTTCCATTTCAATTTTGCTCTGCCTTCAAAAGCTTTTTTAACACGACTACTTGATTACCTGACCAGGAATGCACTCCAATAGAAATGCAAAACTGGGGCCTTGTCATAGCTCCCACTTCCCAGTCAAAAAAAACATCCCAGCAGGCTTCAAAATTCAACTGGAATTTTCTCTGTCAAACTGGTAAAGAAAGGAAAAGAAAAAAAGGAGGGTTGGTTACCCTCATATTCACGCCAAAGCTCACACTCACATATTCAAATAGATTCCACCTTTTTCTCATCTCTTTTTCAAGTAGTATGTTTTCAAAAATGGGCCAATCTCTACCTATTTCTAGAACAGAATCAGATGGCAATATAAAAAAAAAAAAGTAGGCCCTATCAGCACCTCAAAAGCAACGCTGATAAGAAGAGTATCGAGTGCTTGTCTCCTTGTGTTCCCTTGCCAGTTGCTGCTACTCTTTATTTTTTACCAACCCTGCAAACCCCTATTCATTTTTCCTGATTGCTTTCCTTTTCCTAGGTTCAAGTCCTTGAATGCATCTAACTTCTTATTGTTACTCACTATTTGTGCTAAACCCCACATTAAATAAGTAGACCCAATTTAGCCTAAGTTGCTTGATCTCAGGTTTAGTACTCTCATATAGTTAGCAGTTGTTTTTTTTTTTTTCCAAAATGTTCTCTCTATTTTAAGAAATCTATACCTTCAAATCCATGTTTTTACATATATCAGAAGAAAAAAATAGTGGTATTTGGAATAACAGGGGCATTGATTCAACTAATTTTAAAGAGAAATTTCACTCCAACTTTCTTGAATTCGGCCAAAAGATGGGATCAGACTTGAATTATTTGGGATTATAGTCCAATAGTTATGGGGAAAACTGCCATATATGAATACAGTTTCAATTTGGCCAATCCTGAAGTCAGAATCAATGAATTATGAACCAATTATGACAAATAATGACATCCTGTATTTGATGGTGAGTTTTGGCTTCAATAATTAGTGAAGATAAACAGGAATTATACATTCAAATACGGCAGGTGCATGGCTCATGCACTTACATTTGTATGTGAAAATGGAAATGCTCTGTTGAAAAGGGGCGTTGGTTAGCCAAAATGTTAAATAATTTAGCGTTCAACATCTTTGAACAAGAATATGCTTACTCACAAATTAATTCTCCTGCCAATTACTCGTTTCAAAGAGAAATCCTATCCTATCCTGTCCCTTTGTTTCAGTATCTTCCTTTTCCTTTTCAGTTTTCACTTTAGCCACAATAATTCATCAATAAATACCCCTAAAATCTTACCAACTGCCCCTTGTTTCTTGTTCACATATCTCTCTTTCTCCATTTCTCAATATCACCAGGAGGAGCCAAAATCTGTTCCAGCGGAACTCTCTTGCCAAGTCTGAAATGTCAAGAAGAACAAGCAAGAGAGTGAGTTTCAGCCCTGACGTCAATGAAAGGCCAACGATCTTTCTGAAACATGGAGGCAGTGGCAGAACAAGAGGTAACAGAAGAAGGGTTGTTGTTGGGATTTTCACGTTTAGGCTTGTCAAAGGCTCATTTTCACCAGCAAGGTTGTTGAGGCGTCTTGGAGCTAAAGTTGCACCAGCTTTGCGTTTTGTATCCATTCGAAGGAACTCTTCTCATAAGGTTTCTTCTGCCAATCTGCCAAGGTCACGATCACTGGCTGAATCTATTGACTCTCATCGTGCTGAAGCTATAGAAGATTGCATCGAGTTCTTGAATTCTTCTTCATCTTTGTCAAGATCAAACTCGGTTTCTACATGTTCTTGCTAGAGTTGCAGTCCTGGGATAGAAAATATGTAAATGAAAGGGAAAACTAAAGGGTTTTATATAATTCATTGATCATTTAATTTCCAATATCAGATGTGCAAAAATACATGCAGAAAGCAATTGAATCTTACATTCAGTTTTTTCATTACTTGATTCAGTTCAATCTTAATCATAGACAATTACATCATAATTAACATCTGAAAAAGATCCAAGACATGAACTTTACGCAATTTAATTAATTATGCCATTGCCTGATTTACCGGACAATTAGGCGGTGTTTAAGGGAGAAATTTTATGAACAATCATTCGTGACCATACGACAGATCATGGAAATGAACCGTTCTATACCTCGGTCACCGTTGAGGGTTGAGCCTGAACCAAATGTTCGAGGGAAAATTCACTGTCAGGACCGCAGCTGAAAGCTCAGCCAAATATCCAACTTGGTTTCTCATTTATTTTAGAACTTTGAATCTGAAAGAAACAAATTCCCCAGACACATTTTGCTCCGGATCGTTAGTCGCATCATTCACACAAGATTCATGCATCTGGTTCTAAAAATAGTTCTAAATGCTTCGGAGTATTGAGTGAATTTCGAGCAAATTCCAATAGTTTCATGAAATGAAGAACTCTTGTAGTACACTTTGGGTTTAGCTCAATGATTAAAGAGTTAAAATTTTAATAGAAATCTTAATTCTACTATATATATATATATATATATGTATATAAAGCGAAGAATGGACTAACGAACTCTACAAATTAAAGTACTTATTGTTTGGAACAAGATGCCACGAAAGGATTAAGATGATTGATAGTTTGAGGGGCAGACAGGCCATTATGAGAGAAAACACCTTTTTTTGTTTGTTTCTTTTGGAAATAAAGAGAAAGAATATAGCATAAAACAAGAACAGTAATCATTGTCTCTCCAGTAAAAATCTCAATATGGCAATGGATTTATCCATTTCTTAATGTGTCTGTCTATTTTATGCAAGTAGCAGTGAAATCAAGAATCCAAGGGAAGCTTTTCAAGGTCTCGGATACCATGACCGGAAGCTTTCTTTATTTCAAGAGCTCTCTTATACGGAGGGGCGATAGGGGGCTGGACAGGATCCAAGCTCTGGTAAGTTCCATCAGCAACTTTCGGTAGTGGGTATGAACGGTCAGAGTCATACCCACTTAGGTCCCCGCAAGCTAAAAATGGGATATAAACCTTATTGGGCCCTTCTAACCATCCACTACTGCAATCTGCCATATGAATAAAGGAAATAAGAAATGCTATAAATCTTTATTAAAGAAAGAGAATTATCCAAGTATCACAAAATCTTAACAGATTTTTTTCCAACTATGATGTCCACTTACCTAGATCGTCTCCACCTGAGGGACTGCCCACCTTTTCCAGGAGTCGATACAAGTCTTTTGGATTGAATCCTTCAGGGGGTGAATAATTCTCACAAACTGCAAATGCCTCTGTATAAGAAATAAGACAAGTATTAGCCACACACAGCAACAAATAACATGAAACCACTTTCTACATGTTGTCAGTTGGTTTAGAAATTGCTATGAAGCAATAAATCCAAAGAGGGGAAAGGAAAGAGGGTAAGAACTGGGCAAAACACAACATACAAAATCACTGTTTAGACAAGGTAATATAGATCAGTTCACAGGTTTCTACTGCAATGAATGAGCAATGTCTCAAGTTCAATGTAAAGAAAAAACCAATGTTGCTATTACAGACGACTTCAAAATGTCACCCAAAGAATATATATTCTAAAGAAATAAAAAACAGAAAAGGATGAACCAATTGAGATGCCAAGGACAAGAACACATAAGTTTATACATGTTACTCTTACCTATGCTGGAGTTTCTGCTGCTTTTTGGTTTTGCAAAAGTCACTACAGGGAAAAATAATTTCAGCTGCAAGAAAGAAGAAAGTATATGTATAATGAATGAAAATTATCTAAGTAGTTGGTTAATGTAATAAGCTTTACAATTTACCTCATAATCTTGGATACCAAAGTTGAGTTTTTAGAATTTAATTTACCTGGCAATATAGAAGACTCGTATCTTTTCCACGAAATATTTTTGCAATAAATTTTCCACCTTCTCTAAGTACATGCGCAACAATCGTTAAGCCCTGCATGATTATACAAAATCATAAACATAAATTGACAATTTGTTTTGAAAAGAAAGAATAATACGCAAAATACAGAAGAATTATAATAATTAAGTTTCACCAATGGCAGGATCTTGGTGGGAAGGACTATAAGATGAGGCATTATCACATCCACATGCAACGGACAATCTAAATTATTCACAAATCTGAGTTTCTTATTAGAGACTCAGGCTAATATTAGAGGAACCAGAATACTTACAGCAAGTATGAGTTGGGACTGAACAAACTCGTCCATGTCATGAAGACCGGTAACTGCAGTGCCAATCCAGAGGGGATAAGCAAGCTTAAGAAGCTTGAGGGCAAAAAAAAATAACTATCATGCTATAGACCCAAGCTGAGAAGTTAAAACCAGAAATATTGTTTACCATCAGGAGCACCATCACAGACAACAAGATCAGCTTTGCAGCCATCAAAATGTCTAATTACCTGCAAATAATGCAAATAACTACCAAATGATGGCATACATACACGTTCCACAAACAACAAAAGGCCAAACAAATTAAACCTTGAGTAGCATGAAGTAGACTCCAAACAAGAAAATCATATATATCCACCATATTTTCTAACCCGCTCATGGTGATAACACAAAAGCACAGTAAGTACCAAATCATCACAGATTATATAAGTGGATCAAGGTTGACATTTATCGTGTAATTGTCATCCGAACAATGGACTTCCAGTCGTAAGCTAATGATTCAGATGCAATATAAAAAAAAAAAAGTTGCAAAATAGCTATCAACTAAAACAAAGAAAGCCTCGTCCATAATACTTGGTTCTCTTTCCCGAAATGTTTTTCATCCAAAAAAGATATGAGAAGGGAAAATTTCTTCATATCAGAAAGTGAAAGACACATGACAGAATTCAAGGAAAAAAAGCTGTTCACCACTTCAGCTGTTCGGGCATTAGTTATATCACCCTGCACTTGGATTACACCTTCAATTGGAGCCATTGGCTGTAAATCAATGGCTACAATAAGAGGAAGATCACCATCCCTGCAAGTTATAATAAAGTTTATATGGTCATAATAGAAGGTAGTGTGCATAAGGATCATGGGTCTCATGTTGTATGCATCGGCATGCCTCCATGGGTAAAGAAACAAACTTTTGAAGGCATATAAATTCAAACACGAAAGCAGAAAAGGAACTTACTTTGAAGCAGGCAACTGCTTCACGGGAAGATACAATTTGCGACTCAAAACCTGTGGCATTACTAGCAGGCTAGTTAACAAGGAAAAAAAAAAAAAACAGTTGAGGTGGCTAATTGGGCTTATTATCATTAAATTAGTACAAACCTGACTCCAGCTACCTGGGGCAGCACATAAATCTACCACGCGCTTTACACCTATAGATCAAATCATAATTAAACCCATGAATACAGCCATTTTTTAAGGCATTTAAAATATATTATCGCGCAAAATTTGACCTTCAAAAATGTTGAATTCTTCGTCTATCTGAAGAAGCTTAAAGGCACTTCGAGCACGCCAACCTTCTTCTTTTGCTTTCCGATAGTAAATATCCTGAAAATCAATCAAGCAGCCTTTGTCATAAGTAAACGAATATCCCAATAAAAAAATAAGAAATAAAAACTCACCCTCTTGTCCCTGGAAGCTTTACCCATAATTTCAAAAGTATCAGCCTTTTCTTTTACTACTGAAATAAAATTCCTGAGAAAGGCGCGGTTGGAAACAGAAGAGGGAGGGGGAGGGGACCTGTAATTCTAAAACCCTCCGGTCGAGGGAACTCCGGGTTGAAAAAGAAATTAAATAAATTATAGGGGCATCTTAGGAAACACGTTATTTGTCTGTTGGGGATATTTTCTGGGTTGGGTTAGAAACCCGTTTTGAGTTGGGAATGGGCTTGGTAGATTACCAAGAAGTAAAATGGATCCTGATTCCACAAAAAAAAAAAAACCTTTGAGAAGAAATTGGGGATTTTTTAGATTACGGCTGGTTTTTTGTAATGTGAATTATATCCAATCAGCTACAACCAAAATTGCTGTGGATTTAGAACAAATTTGAGGATATACCACGCAGAATGCTTGTAAGTTGGAGATATTTTATGGGCTGGGTTAGAAGCCCGTCTTGAGTAGAGAATGGGCCTGTTGGGCTACCAATAAGTTACATGGAGCCAAGTTCCCAAAAGAGGAAATAGGGGATTTTTTAGATTATAGTTGGTTTTTTCTAACGTGATATCCAATCAGCTACAACCCAAATTGCTGTGGATTTTAGAAAATAATTTGAGGACATATCACGTAGAACGCTTGCAACCCCTTTTAAGAGCTTAGAATTTCAACATCTTAAATGGCATGTGTCACAGTTTCTATGTTATCAATATGTCAAAGAAAATTGAAAGTAAGGCCGTTTCAAACCATGGCAAAACAAAAAATACGTAGCTGCATAAAGCTGTATCTAACTGTATAATGCTAATGGAGATGCACTTCAGTACTACAGTCTAGTACAAAGATTTAAAATCTCAAGTTTGAAGCCTGGTGACCTCTGATTAAACTATGAAGAATACAAAATCTCAAAAATGGGGATCCCCACGAATGGCACTAGCACTATATGCTCAAGCTTTTGTCGTGAATGGAAGTACAAGCAATACAGACGAAAATCAGCTTCAACTAACAGCTGGGACAGCTGCTGGCTTTGCATCCTCAGTTTTCTCATGTTCTTTGTTTAGCATCTGAAAACCAAAATTTGCCAGTCAAAACACCATCCACATGCTTCGGCATGTTTTAAATATAACAGGGAAATCAGGAGTTTCTCACCTTGTTATTGATCAAGTTATGGAGTGCAATGACACTTCGGATGAGAGATGACAGATATATAACCAACATCATATCATTTGTTTTTACTGCATGATAAGCAGAGAATGTGGATCAATGAACTTCAAAAGTTAGCCCATCTCCCTATCTAATCTGAAAGAACATGAGCATTTCAGCGAATTTTGACATGTGTGATTAATTTTGTATTACCTGCAAAAGCCTTGATCAATTCATTTACGTTTAGGTTTGGCAGCAAGTTGAACACATCCTGGAGTTTTAAACATGGTAGAACACAAATAAGGCAGATGTTAACCAAAACAGGTTCATAATTATAGACTCTTGTCTATATTCTGGATAAGGTATAAAGTAATGTCCAACTGTCCGAGGGATGAAATTTATGCAATCAAGTATTAAAGACAAAAGTTCATAACTGAAAAAAAAAATTCATTTTCAATTTTCACTAAATTAATTTACCTGTAAATGGTAAAGTATTTCATGATTGAGAGGAAGCTTCTCATCAATAACAAGATCTAGGTAAGCACGTATCTCTTGTAACCTTGCATCCAAACCCTTCAAAGCTGTGAGTTTTCCAGTGACCTGTGCAAAAGACCAAGGTAATTTAGGTAAACATTTCTCATCATATACATTCCCTTTCTCATTGCCAAATAAAGCTTAAACTTTCCACAAAAGTAAAAGCTTTAGTTGTTGAGTTAATTAGAACTGGCAAAAAAACAAAGAAGAAAGAAAGAAACCTCAGTTGCAAGTGTACTAATGGTTGTATCCTTTACATCCCTGAGCAAATGTTCCACTCCTGTTAATGGATGAAAAAAGGAGTAATATTAGTAACAAAATTAATGGTCTAAAATCCAATCAACTAGCATCTTAACCGCAAGGGTAATTTACTGAGAAGATAACACCAAATTTCATCTAATGACATACCAATCTCCTCAACTTCATGAGCAGCAATTTCTGAAGGAACGTGAACAAAAACCTTTTGGCTCTTTTGAGTAGCATTCTGCAACATTACCAGTACATTAGTTCAAATGCCCACCAAATACGAAAAAAAGGCAGCAGCTTCTTTGAAAAGATTATTTTTAGTTGCAGTCCCACCATAGAAAGGACTGCCTGTCCACCTCAATGGTTAAGCCCCTCTCTCTGTCCCACAGAAGAAAACATGATGCATCCAAAATTGTTCTTACCTCCTTAACCTCTTCAACATCGTAGTAGGCCTTGGTTGGTATCCCCAACTCCTTAGGTTGGACATCAATAATGACCAAGACAGGATTTGGAACATAGCTGCAACACCAAAAGCTCTTGATTAAAAAAAATGAACTCCAAAATGAAAATTTAAAAACTATATAAAAACCATTAATAGAATCTTACTTGTGGAATAATCTGTGAATGTCTAGATCATTTTCGCGTAATTTTGGGCCGGTACTATACCATCCAACAACATGCTCCTTGGCTGCAACAATTATCACATATCCAGAGATAAAGAGTATCACTTCCCACAGCCAAAACAAGAAAGGAGAGAGAATAAATAAACTAAAACTGGCACCATTGTCAACTCTAAGTTAAGGAAATAATACCATTAATCCTTTTGAACATTGAAAACATTGATTCATGGTAGTTGTGGTCAAGGAACCATATACTTGGGTCCTTCTCATCTTCCTCAAAAGGGACTGAAAATTCAACATTCTACCGTTTAGACATGGTAATAGTAATAATAAAATAATGGTGAATCGAGTATTAATACAAGCTCAATAACAAGAAACTAAATTATCAACACATAAGGATGGCCAACGCATTTCATCAAATACTTCTGAAATTGCAGCTCCTTCAATAACATGCATTTCTTTGTGTTCATTTCCAGAAATTCAAGCAAAAAAGAGGAAACTTTAGTTCAAAGAACCCAATAAATTGCCTTAAATTCAAACTCAACATTCTGGACTAAAAACCCTAACGCCCAAAATTTACTTTCAAAAACCTAAACTAACAACGAAAATTCAAATCAAACGTCAAATCAATCAGCAATCGAGTAAAGATAAGAACATAAGATTTCCCAAAACAGCATTATCACAGCAATCAACATAACTCAGATCTAGAAGGAAATTCCAAGAAATCAAAAAGAGAACCTGCGTAGCTGTTGGTGACGTCGACGGTGCCTTTGAAGGAGGTGCCAAGGAGGACTCCAACGACCCGCTTGCGCGTGTCTTTAGCGACGCGGTTGTAGTTGTCGACGATACTGAGGAGAACTAGAGGGTGGACTATCACCTTCTCTATCGGCCGCGTAGATATTTGCTGAGTTTTTATCACGTCCATTTTTACTTTTTTTTTTCGATTTTTTTCGATTTGATTTCTGATTGCTCTCCGCAAAAGTCTGAGCCTTTTCTTCTTGCTTTGCTTCCTTCGCTACTGATCAATCAACACCAACGTGGGCCTTGTTTAAGGAACTTTTACTTATTGGGCTATAAAAGCCCAAGAAATTGACTTTTCATTGGGGGCCGTTGCTGCGTCAATGCCATGGACTCCATGCTCGAAAAGAATTTGTGGTAATTTTAATTGGCTCCGCAAAAGTCTGAGCCTTTTCTTCTTGCTTTGCTTCCTTCGCCACTGATCAATCAACACCAACGTGGGCCTTGTTTAAGGAATCTTTTACTTATTGGGCTATGAAAGCCCAAGAAATTGACTTTTCATTGGGGGCCGTTGCTGCGTCAATGCCATGGACTCCATGCTCGAAAAGAATTTGTGGTAATTTTAATTGGCTCCAACCTCTCCTGAAACGGTGGATGGGCCGTCTCCGTAGCATTGAATATCCTTAATTGCTCTGGAGAACTCTTTTGATTAATCTGTCTATGACTTAAGGCTGAGGCCTGAGGGTCCGCCTCTTTCCCCCAGCACAAATACAATGGGTGTCATTTATGTAATTTCACTGCACTCTGTTTTTTAAATTGGATAAATGGGGGCTGAATCCAGTTCACTCTTAGGTGTCTCACATTGGCAACTGACTCGTAAGCTTTCATGTTGAGGGTCCCAAGATCCCAACATGTCCATACTCCATTGGCTTACCTAATATTTGTAATATTCATTAAATGAAGTATATAAATTATATTAATTGAGCTCAGCTAATGTGATAAAGGTGGGTTTGAAAATATAAACCAGCAAAGCAGAAACTTTAAGAGTTTTAGTGAGATAACAAATATAATAAATGTCCATTCCTAGACCGAATTTAAGAGCTGCAGCTGTGGGCTGCCTGACAGTTTGGCTAACAGAACAGTGCCGGATTTAGAACAACTGCACGGTGGTGTAGCAAGTTTAATGCCCTTTCCGTCATAGCCACGTACATTGTTGGTGATTAAAAATTTTAAAAACAACCGGAAGTCCAAGTTGATTTATGAGGCAGAATCTAGGCGATCCAGCTGGTTGAAATCAAGGGAGGAAGATGGGGAAGATGGACCACTCAAATCCAAAGCAGTCCAATGATTTTTTTTAATACTTTATTTGTTACCTTTATGGTGGATTTTATTGTTTCATGACTGTTTATTGTTCGTTACTGCTCTGAAGTATGTCAAATCTGGATGCTTGTAGCCTTGTTCACTGTCAGCCAACTCCTAGAATTCATTAGTAGTGGCCATATTGCTCACTTGCTTAAATTCGATGGCAGAAATTAAGAAAAAAATGGAAAGATTTCCAAATTTTTCCGCAGTGGACTGGATTATAATTTTCCTTTTGCAATTTATAAGATGGAAGGGATCAATTAAATCATTTAGATTGCGAGCTAACTTGGGAGACATTAATGGTTTGGTTGGGTCATGGTTTTCTCTACTGGGTTAAATAAACAGAGCTAGACAAATATTCAGCTGCATATCCTGCAATTTCATCAAAGTGTTGGCCATTATTCCTTTCCCATCAAGCTGCCACTGAGTCAGAAAAATTATTATGTAAACTAGTTTATTATTAAAGCATCTCACCCCCTATCAAAAAGGAAAATAAAGGTGAAAAAGCGGGTAGTATTATTTTCTATCAACTTGAATTGAGGTTGGTCCATTAAAAATAAAAAAGAAACGAGTTTATTACATTTCACCTATACAGTCAATACAAATTATTAATGAATTTGATGTTTTTTCAGTTAATTCATATACTCTAAACAAAGCATATCCAAAAATAATGATATTCAAATCTTAGCATTTACAATTTCAACTCCACTTTTAAAAAATGAAAAATACAAATGCTTAATAAATTTCATTGACACAAATGCATTGAATTCTATCAGTTCACTAACTAACTAGACAGCCAACAGCCATGCTTTGGTTACCTATAACTTTCTTTAATTATCAATGAGAGAAAAGTAAAGAAATATTTTTGTCAGGGGACTACTTACTAATTATAGAGAGATTATTTTCATTACTATTCATATTTAACTTTATGATTATTACCGATTAATTAGTGAGTATGTTTCAATTTTCCTCCATTTGAGATTTTTCTTGAAATTAAACAACAACAGCAGCAACACTCATATGACTCGGATGAATGCGGCATTACTGGCTATGGACCAATCTCTGATAGGTCCACATCGTATGAAACCAACCCTTAGGGCCACAAAGCAAGGCGTCATATCCCTATCATTAATTCATCATATCGCCAGCACCACCAAAGGTAAAAAATGTTGATATCCCTGAAGAATGAAGATGCATATAGGGTAGCAGAAGCCATTGCCGTTGGACATTTGCCCTAACACAGTAAAGATTTGTATGTATCAAAATAGTGACAAAATATACATAGTTGTTATTTTTATAATTAACATCACAATCAATTTTTATTTGTTAAGACAAAGTTTTAACATAATGAAAAACAATAGACAAATTAATATAAATTAATTTGTTTCTGAATTCTGATCCTTTTTCCTTAAGCCTTTTCCTTTTCATGTTCTTTTTCCTTCTTGGATGGAACACGACCATCTGTTCCTGCAAGCATAGCATACTTGTCCTTCCTGGTCAAGTTAGTGCACTCGAACCCCAATGTCCCCGCCAGCACCCTTTGTATGTAATTTGCAACTTCAATGGCTGATTTTCCACCTTTGCAAGTGAGCTCTGTAGGCAGCTGGTTCAAGAAGGTGATCTCATAAGTTGGCATTGGGTTCATGAAAACGAAGTAAGGATCCAACAATTTGTGCCCTCGAACAGTTGTTCCGTGAAAAACTGTTTGTTTTGTGTTGATTGCGACCGGCACAATTCTGTCTGTGAGTTCAGCAAACAGTGCACTGAATCTCAGCAGAAATGGTTCTCGGCAGGTTGTCCCTTCGGGACATATTACCAAGTCACCTTCTTGGAGAAGGCGCTTGATGTTAGCTGCATCTTTCTCCCTTTCTCTTGATAATGCAACAGCTCTAATGGGGGAAATAATTTCTGTGAATTTGCTAATACTATAAGTAACACAACTAATTTTTCTTCCCAAGGCAACCGCTGTCACAACTGGGTCTAAGACTGTTCTATGGTTACAAACAAAGAGGACTCCACTTTGGCCTTTCTTAGGTGCGGGTGGAGGGGTACCCTTAACAATCAGTTTGATTCCCAGGATCTTGTAATTGTATCGGGCAATTCGTTCTGGCAAAGGGATGTTGAGATAGACCCTTAATAGGGAGAGGATGAAGCCAATAGGAAGCCACAGTAAGGTCAAGAGGGCAGCCAAGGGGGTAGGTCTTTGGACCAGGCGTCCTTCATGAAATATGATAGGGCTTAGAAGCTTGTTTCTTGGTAATGGATCGCATTTGGTTCTTGGCACCATGTATCCTTCCTGCACGTACAAAAAATCAATGTAAAAATTCCCAGCAATTCATTTAAACGATTACGAACCCATGAATTATTTTTAATTTATGTTTTATATACACGTAATATCAACTTTGCCACTCAAGAACAAATTAAGAGCTACACATAAGAAGTCCACAAAAATGAGTATTTTAAAAGTATTTCTTTGGTGGGTAAAAACATGTAAAACTAGCATCACGCATATGGGTAGTTAACCTTTGTTTTATTACAAAAACGGAGTGGTTAGAGTCAATACTATATTTATGGCAACATGTTATGTTCATGTAAAGACTTCCTTTTTAGGTTTTTATAATTAAGGCATTTAAATTGGAGTAGGCTCCACGTGGGCAACATTACAAATTTTATGAAAAATAAATGAATCACGAGCATGGTGCTGCTGCAACCATGGTCAGGAAAGTTTCAACAAAAAGGAGACGATCAAGATAGAAACTAAAGTGAAATACGAAGAGTGGTTAGGGGACGAAAAAGTTGTGTTTGAGTAGAAGTGGCCTGACAATTGCAGCTTGGATTTGATAATGTTTTCACGAGTGAGTAGTGTAACAAAATTAAAGACATTTAGGAAAAAGCTAGAGGGAAAAAGGGGTTCAGGATTTGGAAGCCGTTGGGCGTTGGGTAAAATCTAAACGTGAAAATTACAAGTAGGGAACCCTGTGGACCATTGAAATTTAAATTTGTAACTATAAAAGGTAGCAGCCCTCAAACGCGGGGAGAGACACAGGAGACATATCAAACAAAAAACATTATGTATCACAAACGTCTCGCCAACCCTATTGCATTTGTAAAGACAAAGTTAATCAAATTATGTTTAAGGAACCTATATTAAGTGAAGAAACAACTTGTAAAGTCCAATTATAACAGTGAAAAAGGAAAATGTGGAAGAAGAAAAGAGAAAGGAATCAAGGTTAGTTAGTGATACTGAACCTTGCATAATGACATGAAATCATGGTCTGTTTCTCTGTCTCCAAGGCCCAAATCTGGCAAATTTGTGCCAAATTCCTTCAAGACGGCAGCCCTTTTGTGTTCTCCAACGAGAACTCCTGGTTTAATGGTAAACCCAGTTGCCCTGCCTGATTTTGTCACTTCCAGCTCTGTTCCAATAACCTTGTCAGCTCCTAAAAATGACTTGACAAATGGTTCTACCATGATTCTAGGATTTGCTGTAATAATGTATCTTTTGCCGAAGGAGCTAAAAACTCTCCAGGTTTCTGGATGAACATCCTCAGCATAAAACTTTGGCAAGACAGACCTTGAAACGAGCTCAATGTCTCTCATTTTTAACCCGGTAAAGGCAATGAAAATGAAGGTATTAATGGCCACAGATTCCGAGATGAAGAAATACGTAAAATACACAAATGGAACCGATGCTAAGAGAACAAATGCTCTTATAAGGCTGCCAGCTTCAAGAGCAATAAGCATGAAATAAGGGAAAGCACTTCGTGCCACAAGAAGGGTTCCATCTAAATCTGCAGCCACCGTCTGATTTGATCTTCCCTCGCTGCTACATTTCGAAATTGGTTCGAAACGACGGTGAGCCCCCATGACCATATGGAAGAGAAGGCAGAGGGAGATGTTAATGTTTTCTAAGTTTTATGTAACTTACCAAGAGAGAGAAGAGGTAAGATGGGGATTTAAAAGGAGTGGAGAAAGATTGCAATTGGCAATGATATTGTTGAAGCTGTTTGTTGGCTTTATGTAGCATGAAAAAACAATGTGGTTGAGACAGAGAAAAGGATAAGAAAAGGCTGTAGTTTTTAATTAAAAATTATTAATTAAGAAAGTTATTAACAGTAAATTTATATTTAGTACATTATTAATATATAAATATTATAAATTATCAATGAATCGAATAATATCATTTTATTAATAAATAAATATTAATTTTTTAAATATTATATAAAATTTTAATTTTTTAAAAAACTTAATTATTAATGAGGTATCATCTATTGCAAGATAAACATTTTTTTCTTCTATTTTTTTACGTATAAATTTGGGCAGTTGTGAAGAGGGGCCAAGTAGTTGGAGGTCGATACCAACACCTACATTTCATTCAATTAGCCTACTTTTTAGTTTCTTGATGCCGACCACGCCGCTTTCTTAAAGCTCTCCTTAGCTCAAGTTAAAGTTAAACACCCTTTTTTGTGTGCTACTTGCTCTATAACTGGAGTAGTAATTAATTTCTTGGTTACTAGTAATTTGCTCTAGCTTCAAGAAGCAGCTAACATTATTATTTTAAAGTTTATTTAGATGTATAATTAATTGGTTTCGATAAAATTAAAAATAATGATGATTGTAAAATTAAATATTATAATGATGAAATTAAAGGTAAAGATATATATTTATATTCAAATATAATAATGACAAATGATATTGAGTATAACAATAGACTGTTGTAATTAAAAAAATTTTACATTTTTAAAATTTTATATTAATCGATTGCAACAGCGCTACCCCAAATATATCATGTGGTGCAATTGAGAGCCAAAACACATTTGGATGCTATCCAAATGAGACGTTACTTATTTTTTAATCTGATACAAGGTTAAGACTTCCCATTTGCTTAAATCAAGTATAAGTACTGCTAAGTCAAGTGATGGTGTACCAAAATTAGGTCCGAATAATCACATTGTGTTGGAAAGTTAGATCTCTCTTTACTAATTTTGGGTTATGGTAATTCGATAATACATTTATAAAAGCTTTCTTGATTTGCCATGAATTTTGATCACTTAGCACGAGTTTGTCATAATAATTTATTGCACAATATGATCTATTGATAAAATGTTAAAATTTTAATTTTAATTATAAAAAATTAAATTTTGAAAGCCTCCAATACAAAAAAGTAGAAACATTAATTTTGATACGATGACTTTGTGTAACATAGAAGGGATGGGTGAGCAGAAAGTGACCAATAACTAGCTAGCATGTGAATTTATGATATAGTCTAAGAAAAAAAAATATTCATTCTTGTCCACATATGCTTGACATGGATTGAATTATTCTATTGTTCACATTTATAAAAAAAAAAAATTAATTTTTGTGCAAAATTTATGCAAATTATGCTTATGAAGTGATTTTGATGTTGTTAAATTATTTTTGTCTTAAATAAATTGTTACAAAAAATCAATGGGATGTTGCAAGACCTAAAATTTGATAATTTATGTATTTATATTGAATAAAATATTAACAATTTATATATTCGTATCATATTTTATATAAAAATTATGTATTATAATTTGTGTAAACATAAAAATATAAAAAATATTTTTTCAAGTTTATTAAATTCATATATATAGTTTTTTTTTAATTTTAAACTATATTATTTTTATTTTTATATTATACCATCATATCATATTTTAAATTATCAAGTTTTATATATATAAAAAAATTAGATAAGATTTTAGGGTAAGACGTTGAATTCAATAAATCTAAGGAAAAAACAGTTGGAAGGGGCTTGAGCAGTTGAACCAGCTGGAGGTAGCTTAAAGGCTTAATATTTGCTTGACTTTAATTAAAGCAAAAGGCTAGACAAATGGGCTTTTCCTTTATTTTAGATAAAAAATTTTCTGCTCTTATCGATCAGTTTAAGCGGCGAAAATAATGTTTCCTTTATTTTCTTAGGTTTGAATTCGTTAATAAGTCCTAAAATATAATTTTTCATAAATTTATTATAAAAAATTTATTTGAATCGATAAAAAAATTAAACAAAACTTAAAAATAATTTATCACATTTCTCTTAAAACTTGTTATGGAAGTGAAAGACATTGAAAACTTTAATAAATCAAAATTCTAAAGGGTAGATATGAACTTCAACCAAAATCTCACTCTCCTTTTCCCATCTCTTGGCTGATAAGAAAGAGTTTACCTAAGAACAATTAAAACCAGATTAATCAGGAAAAGCTCAAGAGTCAGGTCCAATTTCATTTTAAAAGAAAATTTAAGGCAGGATTTTGTTGTTGAAAGGTAGGAAAGGTTTGGGCTTTTCTTCCTTCCACATTTATTAAGCCGCTCCCAACGACTCTTGCAAACTCACCAAGTTTTTTTTTTTTTTTTTTTTTCCCACTATTTTTGTCAATTGGAGAAAGAATTGATTAGTTGATTAATTAATTGTATGAGATTTGAGGAAAGTTATTAATTAAGCATGCTTAGTAGTTAGGAAAATTAATCATGATTTTCTATCTTATTTAATTTCAATGACAATAAATGCAGAAAGGTTGAAGAAGTACGAAAAAAAAATCCCAAACATATTAATCGCATGACTGTTGCCCAATTAGAACGCTGCCTACCGATACATGCAACTCTAGCATTTTCCATGAATTTGAGTATAAAAGCATGTCTCGTGTTATTATTTTTTGTATCAATTTTTAGGCACAACGAACATTGTCATTGACCGAAAGGCATAACAGAGGTCAAAGAAAGTACAAAAAGAAAAGACAAATATCAAAAGCCAAAATGATATTCGAACGACGTCGCTTGACAAATCTAAAACGCTTGCAGATGAAGAAATACTCGTAGAGAGCGAAGGGTCATGAATTTAGTTAGGTTAAGCCACCTGAATTTGTTCATCGAAGTGATACTCAACATGTGCGTTGCATGTAATTAAATAATTGTGGTTGTAATGGTTTTATACGACAAAGTGGCAAAACAGTCCAAAAAAATAATTTAGTTTTTGGACCGATATATGGCAAAACTAAAATTGAAAGGTTTAGACTTTTCACAACCAACAAAGCGGTCTAGCTGAGAAAAGTCCTTTTTCATTAATTTTTTTTTATTTAGGTATATTATATAGATAAATTATTTGATGCATTATAATTTTATAATTTTACAAGCAAGATTAAGAAATTGATATATTATTTATTTATTTATTTAATTTATTTAATATAGTTTAAAAAAAAAACATATCATATTGTTAATTTGCATTTAAAAATTTTATTACCAATATATTTGATAATATCTCTAATATATTATATATACAAGTCACATTCCAAGCGTCAATGAAGCTCTGATATTAGTTGTTGTGTCAGTCTATTATGGGCATAGCATGGAGGTACTCAAGGGCACATACCTTTTTGCGTTATGTCTTACCTAACAAATCGGCTTTGGTTCTTTTCTCCCATAGCATTTTCAATATACAATTGATCATAATTAAAACAACCGATTATTTGGTTCTAAAACTATGGTCGCCAATAGGATTTCTCTTTGAACGTTTTGGCCCAAGAATGGGCATAAATTGGCTGCAATAGATGTAGCCCGTATAAGATTACAAGTTCCTCTCGGTTTATAGTAGGCTCGGATCTCTCTTATTAATGCACTTTTATCTCTCTTATTTCTTCTTATTTTGTTAGAAACTCAGCTCATGTAGTCATACATCGAGTGGTGGAGTAAATTATTCCAATCATGATTTTATTTAGAATAGTCGAAAACTTTTTAATGGATCAATAGATTCAGAATGAGAGAATCAGTTACAGCTAAAATTCACTGGCATGGAACAAGCAGTACTAATAATCGCCATTCCTTGACACTATTGACCAATTACATCCAGGAAAGAAAAAAAAGATTATAGGAGGAGAAAAGGAAAATGGAGACGAACATTTCATCGTGGACTGAATTGTTCACTCATCAGCACTGTTTCCATGATCAGTCGCTTATTTGGACTTGAAAGGGATGGCCCTGATCACTATTTGGTGGTATAAAGCTGCTAGGGCTGCTCCAATGAAGGGTCCTATCCAGAATATCCACTGCATCCAAAGAGGATTTAGCATTAGAGAAGAACCTTTGTAATCAAATTTTGATCTCTTATACACGTTTCCTTAATTGTTTTTAACTAATATGCAGTTATCTGGTTCTTGAGCTAGTAAAAAGAAAAGAAAAAAGGGAACTTGGGAAGACTCACATGGTCATCCCATGTTTGGTCCTTATTGTAAATAAGAGCTGCGCCAAGACTCCTAGCTGGATTAATTCCTGTTCCTGTAATTGGAATTGTTGCCAAATGTACCAGGAACACCGCGAACCCAATAGGCAGCGGTGCCAAGATCTGATATTCATTCAAATTAACCAAAATCAAGTCTTCAAATGGCAACAATGAAGAGCTACAACACTTCGAAACGGAAAAGAAAGCTAGCGAAACTGTAATTTTGCTTACAGGAACATGGGAGTCTCGTGCATTACGCTTAGCATCAGTGGCAGAGAAGACAGTATAGACAAGAACAAAGGTACCAACAATCTCAGCTCCAAGGCCACTACTATTGCTATATCCTGAGCTAACCGTGTTTGCACCACCCCCTAGCCTTTCATACTGGGTCTTTTGGAAGCTTTTAATGACAGCAGCGCCACATATCGCTCCAAGACATTGCATTATCATGTAAAAGACTGCTCTGGTCAGTGACAACTTCCTCGCCAACAACAGTCCAAAAGTCACTGCTGGGTTAATGTGACCCCCTGCGCCACCAGCCACCATTAAAAGCAATTAGTGCTTACTTATCCATATTGAAACTTACAATTTCCAAGATTTAACTCATGTAGTCATTTGTATTATACCTGAAATGCCAGCAGTGCAGTAGACAAGGGCAAAGATCATGCCACCAAAAGCCCAAGCAATGCCCTGAATTCCTACAGTTGAACACTTGCTTGAAGATTTGCCGACACCCATTACAGTTAAAACTGTGATGTAAAGAAACAAGAGAGTGGCCACGAATTCTGCTATGCCAGCCCTGTAAAATGACCACGAGGATAACTCGCCAGGCTCAAAAAGTTGTGCTGCAGGTGGTTCCTTGTAATCTTTGGCATCTTGACTTTGAGCAGCTGTTCCTATAGGCTGCCTCTCCTTGTACTTATTTGCTCCCAACCTAACATCTTCATTTTGCCCTTCCATTTTCTTGCTCAGTGAAGAAAACTGAGGAAGTTAATTTGTTCACTTCTCTCTATGCTACTCTTTTATTTCTTCAGGCTTTTTTATAAGAGCGAAATGGATCAAACAGCGTACTCACAAATCATGGGCATAGCTTTGGAAGTGAGGGGTGGGGTATTCGTAGCGTGACTTTAGGACAAAGATTGAGGGAGTGTAAGCTGAATTCTCTGGAGTTCTCTCATTGATTGAGAGGAAAATGAACTTTTCACTGTGGTGACATGTGACCGACCACTCCATAATCCACACGCCTTAAAAAAGCAGCTTCTTTTGCTGGATATCATGCAAAGATTTTGGGTGACCTTGTCTTTCTCATGGGTAATTTTCACTTCACTTAAATATAGACCTTGCTTTTATTCTTAACTTTTAATAAAAGTCTGAAGCCTTTTTCTCCAAAAACCGTCCACAAATTTTGATGGAATCAATCACTAAAGATTTGAAATGATTTTGTTTCTCAGTGTTGGACACTCGATGCGCAAGGTATTTCTTGTCTGTAAGTCTACTTGCTTGTAAAACAACTTATTAATTAGCTTATCATATTAGTGTAAAATGCTTCGATCAAAATGCATGATAATTGATAAGGTGATGATACTTAAATGAGATTACTGCATATAGAACTTTGGATTGATCATTAATTCCTCGTGAAATGTGAGGTTTGATTTCCATGCTAAATTATGTAAAAAAAAAATTTACTAGCTAATAGGTTATGTAAATTGTTCTGTGCTTTTGTTTTTATAGTAGAAGCAAACCGCATAATCCACAATTCAAGGAAATAAGAAGAATAAGAAGCAAAAGCTAGCATGGGCTGCCATGGCTACGAATAAGAGATTTCACCAGCAATTATGAAACTATATATATATATATTATTTAATGTATTCACAAGAGCAGAATATATATGCCACAACCAATATTGTTTTCATTGCAATTTTTAGTCTAGAAGACCTGTTAATTTGCTTTCTTAGCAAATACAATTAAATATGAGGGTTGGAACTTGGGAGGAACAGGGTATGTAACTCGAGAATAGACATACTCTACCGGATAATATTATATACACATAAAAAATATACATATATGTACACATAATTATTTTGTTACGATATTTTAAAAATTAAAAAAAAAATTGATGTAAAAAATTTATTATGCATTAAATGTAAGTATACTTTTATGTATATATATAACCTTTCTGATTTTACAAGGATTGAGTGTCTATTAGTTTTACAATATCAGCAACTGTAAATTACTTTCCATAAGCAAAAGCACTTTTGTGAGTGCTTTTGTCAAAAGACAATTATACATCTCCTCAGAACTAAATAATTTGTGATAATGGCTTTGGTCCAACCTATTGATCGAGTAAAAAAATGCTTTTACCTCTTTTTCCTTTTTTTTTTTTTTTTTTTCAAGTCTGAGCCTGCATCAATAGGACCGACATATCATGGATGAAAAAAGTGGCTGGTATGGCCCTGGTGTTGCCCTCATTTAACTGAATCAGAGCCGCCCGATCACAGACTCCAAATTCTAGTCACCAAATTTACGATCGCGTCGACCGACTTTTGCCGCCCAGATGTCGAGTAACTTAAAATTCATTTACGTTGCGGAGGCTAGGCTAGCCCAAGGGCTTCTTGATCAAAGCCGGAACATTGAGCTCTAGGGTCAACAAAGGCCCATTAGGAAAGGCTTTTTCTGCATTACTTCTGTGCATGTTTTCCGAGATGGTTCCACAACATTCTGGGCTAAAGGGTTGGGCTTGTTCTTTGGAATATTTTTTTTGAGCTACAAATAATCACTATGGAACCACTTGTGGCTTGTACTACCATACATTTGAAGAGTAAAAGAAAATTAGTTCTTATGGAATTTCATAAATTTTGAATAAATTAAATTTCAACTATTCAAAATGCAAACAGGAAATCTTTGAATAGAAAAATATCTAAGTTCAACAACAATTTCAATTCATTTCCTCAGAAAAAAAATCAATTTAAATAATTAGATGCATTATACTAAAATGTCATCTTCATTTGCCTATTGAACTGATTTGCTCATTCTCCTAGTTGTGTAGAGGCAGTTTATTTTGGATCTAATCTGATAGAGCAACTCGCTAGGAACAGTTGCTTCACTTTTGATTTCTAACTTTCAATGAAAACAATCCCCTTTGCTTAATCAAGGAGGGACTCAGGACACTAGCTGCAAACTTCAACATGTCTAAGCTGATATGTGCTTCCCTGCTGCAAGAGGCTTCCTTTTGATTTATTCATAAACTTTGTAGTTAGTACTGACTTGATAGCCCCACCTTCCTATCTAATACCCATGGCTGAAAATTAAGCAGGAATCTTGAAGTTGAAAGAATAACCAAAACGAGATTGAAGGGTTTACTGTAGCAACATTAAGGGTTTACTGTAGCAACATTAAGGGGAAATGCCATATATAATAAAACAAAACCAATAGAAGACCTGGTCAAAATCTTGTGTTGGCTATTTTGGGAAACCGTGGGCCGTCAAGTGTCAATATCATCATAAAAAACAAGCCTGCGTGTGTCTCACACCTCCAACATGCTTCATTGCAAACACCGCTTTTCCTTCTCGCACTATCTCTTAAGATATAAAGTGAAAAAGAACTTGTTGACCTCTGCACATGCAGGATTTTACCGGGAGGAGTGCTATTTATACCCTACTTTCTCTTTTCACACTCCACTGCAATTAACACTCATTTTTTTCTTCTTTTCACACTCAAAATCAAAACATTCATTTATTAAAAAATCCTAACACTTCAAACTCTCTCTTTTTTTTTTTTTTTTTTCATGAAAACCTTAAATCTCTTAAAAATTAAATTTTAAATCAAACCTCAATCATTCATTTAATGTTAGGTAATTTAAAATTATAAATAAATTATTTATTTATTTTATTTTATATTTAATTTAAAAAATTTAAAATTTTAAGTCTAACCACATGATTTAAGATAATGATTTCAGCATTTCAAAAATAAAATTTTAAAATTTATTAAAAATTTTCAAAAATAAATATTCAAAAGTTTTTTCAACATATTAAAACTTCATTAAAGTTTTCAAATAATTATAATATTTTTCAAAAATAAATTTTCAATAAAGTTAAAAAGTTTCTAAAAATAAAATTTTGGTACATTAAAAAAGTTTTTAAAATTTTATTTTTGATAACTTATTAAGAAATGATGTAAAGGATAAAAAAATAATTAATTAATAAATATTTAAATAAATTTTTTATTGATTAATTTTTTTAAGATATATTGAGAATTTTTTTGAGATGCAAATAATCTCACTTTTTTACCAATCTACTGTGGGACTTCTATCTAAGATGTTGCAGTTCCACATTAAACCTTCAACAGAAAGGAAATTATTGAAGAAAATACATTATAATTGTCCTAATTTATTCTTCATTCAATGTCTCGTTGTTTTATATAAAACCATTTATTAGTAAAAATTTTAATTAGGATGTTAGTTGATTTTTTATCCATAGCTAAGTGCTTGTTTGCACACCAATGCTAATCTCTGCCTTTTAAAGCTTTGTAGGACCATGATCCTTCGTTTTGTGCGGCTGATCAGCTATTCTATGTACACAAATAAACGTTCTAATTACCTTCGTTTGTTTCTGGTTGTTCATATCATATCCAAGGAATCTGCTTTTCTTGACACCAAAATCAAGAAAAAATTTTCCCTAACATTTTTTCCATTTCTTAAAAAGTCTATAATCAAACACTAACTTTATGTTTGATTGCCCAACTTAAGGACAACATACAAGACATTATTGATATTAACTTGGCATACTATATAATTCCTTCTTGTATTCTGTATGTAGAAATTCTCCAACTACAAATTAACAAACCAATTGGGAATAACTGAACTGAGAGTGGAGAGAAAATGAGAAATAGTTTAGACGAGCAGGCCTGCAAAGCTGCTGCTCAAAATTTGTTCTCCGAGCTTGGTTACGTAGTTACCAATTGGGCACGATATTACATTAGCTTTTCCAGGGGTGCTTTGTTCATATCAGGTAAACTTCCACAACCAAATATGGTCTTCGTTCAAATTTGAAATTTGAGTTCATATCGCATGGGGTTTACTTATTTGTCTCTAGCCTTCTCATTCTCATTTCATTATTGGTAATAAGTTTCAGGTTTGGTTTTCAGCCATGGCTTGGCAGAAAATGCTGTAATGCGCATCCTGATATCATACTTCATGGAGAAGAGGAAGAATACGAATTTAAGACAAGCTGCAGCAGTTGTAAATGTTGAAGAGGGCATATCAGCTATTATGGCTATTATCATATCTTACATTTCTGATGCCTATTTATGTCGTTTTAAAGTGATTGCTTACACCACTGCTATGTTTATCATAGTAAGTCTACTCCAAAAGTCACATCCTTTGTGTGGTTGTCAATCCCAAAAAACCCTTTTAAAACGTGGATGATTCGAAAATGAAACAAGATAAGTGAATACTGGTTAAAACGCATTGAAAAGGACTATCACAAGTTTCAAGGAAAAAAATAAACAGGGAATATGCAACGGAGAATCCCAAGTATAACACTATATTGCAGAAAAGAAGTGGCTAATACACACTGTGGCAACTTTGGGGCAGCATGAATGCAAGGCCCAATTCCTATAACATTGTTGAAAAATCCACAGGATGTATAGACTACCAGGAGAGAAATATAGAGGGAAGATCAATTAAATGTGTACACCTAATATATATATATATATATTAGGTGTGCCACTGTCATCCTCCTTTCAAAAAACAAGTGGTATACTTGTGTAATTTCAAAATGATTGTTTACACTATTAATAAGTGCTATCTATATCAGAGAAAGTCTCATATTTTTTCTCATCATTTTCTGGTCCTATTTATGTGGTCCTGGTTAGGAGATTGTTTGCCTGTTTATTCATAAATAAAAAAAACTAGCATTTTTCCTGCAGGGATTGCTTCTGCTTGGGGTCCCCACCTGGCTTACTCCAGAATTAGAAGTTCGATTATTCTACCCGATGGTGCTACTTATAGCAGTGGGCAAAGCAGGAAGAAATCCTCCTTTAAAAGCATTTCTTGCTGATCAGTTAACTGACACCAAGCAGAAGCAACCAATAGATGAGGAACATGTTGAGGCCCGCAAAAATTTTTGGTGGCGTGTTGCTTGGTCTCTAGGCGTTGTAGCTTCTTTTGGTTTATTCATTGGTTCTTGGAGATGGATCGTCTTAACTTTATCAGTAGTGATGGGTGTAGCTTATCTGTGGTTCTTGCTTGGCATCAAATTTTACTCCTGCAAGAAACCAACGGGCAGTCTCCTTACTAACGTTTATAAAGTTTTTAAAGCAGCCATTTTGAAACGGCATCTGGCTTACCCGAATACTGCTAATCGTTACTTCAAAAACGATAGTAATCAACTCCTCTTGTGGCCCAACGTTCCATTTTTCAGGTAAAGGATCCTCTTTGAAGCTTGAACTCTATCCCGCTTCCCCCAGTGTTTCATTAAATAGAACAGGCAGCGTATAAGCTAAACACACAGGTTAATTTTTCGTGCATGGCAATTGGCAGGTGGCTAGACAAGGCTTCTATTGTAGAATCATCATCTCAACTGATATTAGAGGAACAGGAGATTACAGGGAGGCTTTGCACAGTTGCACAAGTGAAGCAAGTGAAGAGCCTTTTAACAATTGTTCCTGTTTGGACAACTTTTGTTATTTGTGGTCTGGTAGAAGCAACAGGAAGAACTTTCTTCATTCAGCAGGCCAACAATTTGGATGAGAATATCGGCAGCCTCTTCATTGTCCCTGTTAGCCTTTTCATTACACTTAAGTCCCTGGTAAGCTTTATCGCTTCATTCCTTCTCCAGTTACTTATCCCAAAGTGGCTGGGCAAAGCAAAGAGACAGCCTTTTATACTTGTTAGAATCGGTTTTGGGATGGTTTTTTCTATTTTCAGCTGCATTGCGGCCTGGCAAGTTGAGGTTCACAGATTGAATTTAATCAAAAAAGAAACAATGAGTTTCTTCTGGTTAGCTCCTCAGTTTACACTGCTGGGACTTATGGGTGGATTTGCTGAAGAGGGGCTCAGGGATTTGTTTTTCAACCATGTAGCTGAACCTTAAGAAACTTTACGAGCCATCAATCATGGATTGTACTTTGGGTATTGGAAATTTCCTCGGAATACTATTTGCTTTTATCTTCAGAGCATGGTTTGGTGACAACATAAACAGTAGCCGCCTTGATAAGTATTTTCTAATGTTAGCCGTATTGACCATCGGGAACCTAGGCCTCTATTGTCTTATGACTCTTGTATCGTATAAATTTTGGTGTGGGGAAGAAGCCCAACAAGACAGTGTGAAATTAAACTAAGGTATTAGCTTGGAAGATGGTCTTACAGAGTCAATGACTGATAATTCCCTTTCTAATAATTTCTTCTCCTACTCTACTATTATAAATTGGCTAATTTGAAGGCAGTCACACAAACAAAAATAAAAGGTAGATCGTAAATGGCTACTTTAAGACCGAATAAGAGACATTTGAAGCAAATGAGGTCACAGGAGCTTAGCTCAACCATCCAACCTAGTCCTTTTCATATTGGGGTGGGGTGACTCAACATGGACCTAGCTCAAATGGCCCGCGTCAAAGATCTGAATCTTAACAGGTCTCGTATTGGAATTTGCGTTGTGGGAACCCTTAACCTTTCATGCTCAATCCGACCTGGTAAACACAACTCCACTGGGCTTCACTTGTTGAGATTAAATACCAGATCAGATCCAAAAGCCTTTAGATCAGATTTAATAAGGCTTTGTCTGACCCAGTTCCCGTTGTTGCCCCAATTAGAACAGTACATTCAAATGCTCTTAATAGAACTCCAGTTCCAAATAGATGGCCCCCTTTGAGGCCCTTCTCAGATACAAAACAATTTCATCACTTGCTAGTTTAGAACTAACTTGCAAGTATGTATTGGATAATGGAATAATTCTACATTTCAAAAGGCCCTCAAATTTGATACCACTTCCTTTTGCTTCTTTATATTTCTAATTTTCTGCTATAATAATATTAAACCATGCAATTTTAAGAATACCTTATTAACTTAATTGGGCAACCATCCAAAATTATGAAAGATGCTTGTGGTGGGAGAATCCACTAGGCAGTTTTCATGCTGACTTTGCCAGGAATCTCTTTACCTTTCCAAATCTTCAGTGCAGTTTTGTGTGGGTTCCGTGATGTCTGCCACAAAACTATCCAGCCCATTCGTGCAATCAGAAAAAGGGAGGCAAATGATAGTGGAAAGAGAATTGAGGCAGAAAATTGGAAAGCTGAGGAAAAAAACAAAAGGAAAATGAAGTTGGAAGAAATGTATGTTGAACACTAATTATTTTCATTATTTTAGATAGAAAAACCATTTTTAAGTGCATTCCCTCAACGTTGAGGTGATATCAGTTTAGAGCTTTCAATTGAGTAGACTGCACATGCAGCAATTGAAATCTGTAGGCCATGAATGCCACTATTTGTTGGTAGCAAAGGTAAAAGGAAACCTTTAGTTCTGTTCCAAGGAACCCTCAAAGCTCAATCAATCACATCCTTCCGAAAAAATTTTAAGTAACGTCTATCTAAGAATTTGGATTTCAAATATTAATGAAAATTGCAAAACTGAGGTGCTATTCTTTACAAATTCTTTTCCAATCCTAAAACTTACTAATAGATAGAAAAATAAACTAAAAATTGCTAACCACAAAAGAAGGGCGGGAAAAACTCAATTCAAAGTCGCATACTATATGTAACAAAGTGAGAAAGCAGGTCAGAAATGAGCTGAAAGCAAGGCAAAAAGATAAAGCTAAGGAAAAGAGGTTTTCACGTGTAAATGAGGAAAGATGGCACTATGCTTTAATCTTTTCTCCTTTTGGAGTTAGGTCTGCTCCATGCTTATAAAGATTGAATACTCAATTTCCCTAGAAAACTTGGAAAAGACTAGTAGTGGAAAAGGGTTCGGTTTCTTTCCTCTAGCAGATTGTTTTTTTGTACATCATAGTGGCTGTGAGAATATACTAGGCTGCTAGCCCCTGGAAGCCTATCAGGCCCATGAAAGACTCTCTCTCCTGCTATTGGCTAATGTGTCTCAGAAACTCCCTTTGTTCAAAAAATGATAATAAGAATGGAGATGGAGGTATCCTTAAGTCAAAAAGATGCCCACAAATTCGATGGTGGCTATAATCTGATGGGACAAATCGTATTGAAAATAATCATTTGATAATCAGTTTGATTGGATTCCATCAAAGGGTCTTCAAATATCTATCTTTAGATTCCAAGCCAAAGACAATTCTGAAATATCACCAGAAAGCAAGGACTAAGGACTGATTTTCTTCCAGGGCTTTCAGAGTTAACTAGGAGACAAACAGGCTGAGTTAAGTTCTGCATAAAAACATGGCCTGGAAAAGTTCTAAGAGCACTTTTGATTAGAGTTTAGATTAATTAAGTCGAGATCTTTTATTTCGAGTTTGTTCGGACAGTGTAAAATAGATAAATCAAAGATATCAAATAAGGGTTAGCAGAAGACAAGAATTGTAACAAAGATATCAAACAAAATGTGGCAATTCATGTAGGGATAAATAAAGGTGGAATGGATGGGGGAGATGTGTGAAGAGGAGTGATTTGTTGGGCAGCTGTCTCGTGTCTTAGGAAGGGGAGCACGTGACTAGCACGAGGGCCCCCCCTCTCGAATGTCTGTCTTCGATACCTCCAAATAATTAAACGCCTTCCCCTATCTTCCTCAGTTCATATTATCTTATCCTCTGTAAGTCATTGAGGAGCCATTAATGTCTGACATTGACAAGCTGTGAAGCTCATAAACCAGAATTTGCCCCTCTAAATGAGCCTAAAATTACATTAAAAATGTCAATGATCTTTTCATAAAGCGGTGATACAATTGTAATTTTGCACACTAAAAAACAGGGTGCTTGTTAACCAGAGAAGATAATGTGGGCAATGGGTCCTGTCACCTGTGTAATTGTGGTGGTGGGGGTACCCTTTAACAGCTAAGAAAAGAGCGCTGTGACTTGTGAGAGGAATAAACAAGCTGTATGAGGCGGGAACATTAACTCCAAAATAATCCTTATCTTCCAAATCTAAGTGGATCCCACTCCTTAAATAATGGGTCCAGGGTCCTACAATTAAATTAAACCAACAATCCATCAACGGTCATGCTTTGACAATGGCCCCTCGTCCTACAGTTTGACCATATAAGATCCGAATAGGCTTTCCTTTGAGTAATCATAATATTTATGAAGATAAATAAAATACAAGGTGATGGCCTAATGGATCTTTAACAAAATCCAAAACTCTCCTTGCTTAGTTGCTTCGAAAATGGTAATGGAAGAGCTTCTCCTGGCCACATGAATCCAAATAAAATTCAAAGTGTGTGCTGATGATCCATCATGAAGGAACAAGCAGATTGTTGCAGGTACAAACATTGAAAAAAAATTATCCTCAGCTGTTCGCCACCACCAATTGTTGTTTCATCAAATGGAAAACGATGTGCGATGAACTTATACCTTTAAGCAGACAGGTTAGAGACAGACCCCATTTTCCAATTTGCAAGAAAGAAAGTGGGGAGTAATTAATGAAAACAACAACTGTAGAAAAAGGAGCAGATTTTCGTCTGCAAATTTCGATCAACTCCATATGTATCGATCGAAGATGCTAATCATGTAAGACTTTTGGTAGCATGTATTAAATATGACGTTTGGATTTTTCTTTTCTACCATAGAAAGAAAACACAGTGCATTATTAATGTCAATACTTAGGTTTCAATAAGAATAATCATAGATTGTAACCTACATTATAATATATATATATATATTCTCAAATCACATACGGCCAGTAACATACATAAGATCTGTTTGTCCAAATTTTCATGTGAATCTGTTTAAATATTAATGCCAACTCATCCTGAAATAGAGAAAATTTGTTCAAATCAAGATTCAAACTAGGCTATTACTTAATTAAAAAATAGTGAAGCATGTTAGTGACATTATTAATTTGACTAATAATTATGAACTAATAATAACGCAATATTCTATGAAAAATTGAGCAAGTCTAAACCAGTAAACTAGCTCATCATTGGCCTAACTACTCTACACGATAAAATAATATGAGATCAGAATTTGCTAGAACTCTGACTTCAAAAATATTTCAATTTCAGGTCTTCGATGCAGGGCTGCAGTTTTCTGTTAGCCTGGCAGGGTTGATTACAGTTTTCCTGCCAGATGAATCTGCATGTGGCACGATGATTGCAACTTCCTTTTGATTCCCTAAAGGAGGTTACTTGAGCATAAGAAAATTAAATAAATAATCAAGTAATTAATAATCCTGGGAATCATAGACAAGAACTGTGTCATTGTTGTGGGAATGAGGTCTGCATAATGATAATAGCTTGTAATTAGAGAGATAATGAAAGAAAAATATCTAAAACACTTGGATTTTGCCATGGCAAAGACTTTAAAATATAATCCAAGCACTTTTCATGTGCTTATTCGAGCTATATATATATATATATACCAGTTACAACTTCTTAAGCAAGAAACAAGTTTTGTAGCAGAAATATTGCTTAATTAAGGTTGTGATTTTATGCTTAAGGTTTTAACATTGGTATATTGAAAATTTTATACCGAATGTGTCAACAATATATAGCAGTTAGGTTTAAATAATTGAGAGCATCAGGTTTATTATTTGACCATGGGGTAAAATGAGAATGAAAAAAACCAAGACATAGACTGAGCCACAAATGAGGGAACTTAATAAGCTTGAAGCATCCCATGTTGGGGGAAAGCAAGTGGGCTATAGACCCACATGGCATTTAAACAACAAACATTGAACCTCTTGACATGAAATCCCCTCACAAGGAGGGAAACAAATCCTGTCACAATAACTTCTCTCTCATTCAAGATTATATGTGCCTCAGAAGAGCAAGTAAATAATCTCTGGAAGTCCTTGAAGCCTGCCCAGCCCAGATGTTGCAGCTCCTTTTTCGGCGTGCAGTAGGGCAGAGACTCACAGGGTATACTCAGCACCCACATTTCATGTCAAACATGGTACAGACACTAGACACACATAAACAAAGATG